GATGTGTATTGCAGGGGCGCCCCCCCCCTCCTGTATATAAAGGAAGGAGAGGTGGCCGGCCCTAGGCGCGCCCCAAGTAGGAGGAGTCCTACTTGGGGTCCTAGTTGGATTCGACCCCCTTCCTTTTACCTGAGGGGGTAAGGGGGAAGGAGAGAGAGGGGGAGAAGGAAAGAGGGGCGCTGCCCCCTCCCCTAGTCCAATTTGGTCTCCTCCCTGGTGGGGGGGCACGCCACCACTTTGTGGGTTGGTGTGACTCCCTCCTATGGCCCATATCTTTCCCCGGGGGGTTCCGGTAACCCCTCCGGTACTCCGATATGTACCTGATACATTCTGGAACACTTTTGATGTCTGAATTCTACCTTCCAATATATTAATCTTTACCTCTCGACCATTTCGAGACTCCTCGGCATGCCCGTGATTTCATCCGGGACTCCGAACAACCTTCGGTCACCAAAACACATAACTCATATAATACAAATCGTAATCGAACATTAAGCATGCGGACCCTACGGGTTTGAGAACTATGTAGACATGACCAAGACACCTCTCTGTACAATAACCAATAGCGGAACCTGGATGCTCATATGGCTCCCACATATTCTATGAAGATCTTTATCGGTCAAACCGTTATGACAACATACGTTATTCCCTTTGTTATCGGTATGTTACTTTCCCGAGATTCAATCGTCGGTATCTTCATACCTAGTTCAATCTCGTTACCAGCAAGTCTCTTTACTCATTTCATAATGCATCATCCTGCAACTAACTCATTAGTCACATTGCTTGCAAGGCTTCTTATGATGTGCATTACTGAGAGGGCCCAGAGATACCTCTCCGATACTCGGAGAGACAAATCCTAATCTCGATCTATGCCAACCCAACAAACACCTTTGGAGATACCTGTAGAGCATCTTTATAATCACCCAGTTACATTGTGACGTTTTATAGCACATAAGGCATTCCTCCGGTATCCGGGAGTTGCATAATCTCATAGTCGGAGGAATATGTATTTGACATGAAGAAAGCAATAGCAATAAAACTGAAGGATCATAATGCTAAGCTAACGAATGGGTCTTGTCCATCACATCATTCTCCTAATGATGTGATCCCATTCATCAAATGACAACACATGTTTATGGCTAGGAACCATCTTTGATTAACGAGCTAGTCAAGTAGAGGCATACTAGGGACATGGTGTTTTGTCTATGTGTCCACACATGTATCAAGTTTTCAGTTAATACAATTCTAGCATGAATAATAAACATTTACCATGATATAAGGAAATATAAAATAACAACTTTATTATTGCCTCTAGGGCATATTTCCTTCAGTGCTTTAGTGGAGAGGTTCGGATCTTCATCTTCAAGTACATAGTCAGGCTCAACCTCTACCTCCTCTTGCTCAGCCTCTTCATCAACATCAAATTCAATGTTGTCTTTATAAAGATCATCATCTATGTCATAATCACTATCACTGAATTCTGAATCTGACAGCACAACATCTTCAGTCTGCAAATTTGGCTCTACACCAGCAACCAACAAGTTTGGGTGAGCACCATCATTAAGCAAGTTTGGCTCTGCACCATCTGTCAGCAAACTTGGGCCAGCACCATCATTAAGCAAATCTGGATCTGCACCATCTCTCAGCATATCCTCTACTTCTGTTCCATCAGCTGCAACCTCTGAAATTGGATCTTCAACATTCACATAAATGATGTTGTGAATAGATGGTGCACTGCTTGTACCAACAATTGAGTTGGCCATTCTGACAGGACTTTCAGTTGATGGCATCTTCAATATTAAATCTTCTCTGAAATTGTTGATGGAGTCTGAATTGTCAACCATAATTGCAAGAACTTTGTGCTGAGCACTAGCTGCGATCAAATGCTGCAAATCTTCATCACCTCTAATTCTCACCAACCCATCTGAAATTGTTTTCTCAGGTAAGCACCAGTAAACTATGTGCTCATTGATAGGATATCCCAACCATTTTAGGTGCTCTTCTAAGACTGCAATGAAAATGTGCAAGCATCAACATAGTCAAGTACCTCCAAAGAAGAGTTATAGTACTCTAGGGCACTGATTGCTCCACAGAAAAGTCCACCATGTTCCAGTTCTAGTGTAAAGAAAGGAGTGTGAACACTCTGTCCCATTGCTGAATCACACACTGCATCCAAAAAGGGAAGTTTCAGTGCAAAATTTAGTTAACTGCATATAACAATGACATTCTAACACTGAACACGAACTGCAGAAATTCAGTTAACTGAATATAACACTGAATAGTTAACCGCACAAATTCAGTTAAAAATTCAGATAAGTATACACTTTCAGTTAACTGAATTTTAAGCAACAACATAAATATACACTGATTGGAAAACAAATTCAGATAAGTTGTAGATAGAAGCACCATAGAAATGAATTAATAGGCATTGGGCCACCTTCTTCATCAAAACCATAACTGACAGTTCAATATTGTAGCCGTCAGCGAATCTACACAAAACCATATGCCAAATTCACAGAAGAACTGGCTAGGATTCTCCACATAGGGTGCTTGCACGCAACAACACTATCTTCATGCCCGAAACCCATACCTTGCTGCAGAAACCCTAGACTAAATACATAGCTCAAAACCCTAGCTTTCATGGTAACAATGCCACATTGCCACATCAAAGCAATACATAACCACGAATCTGCCTCCAAATCATATGGATCCGCCATACTTGCCCGTACTTGGCAGGGCGCATAGCAGAAGAGGAACAGGGGGAGAGGAGGTGCAGAGCAGTGGCCAGCTCACCATAGTCTGGAGGGAAGACAGCCGGCGGCCGGACTAGGTGAGCGGAGGGAGGCGGCACTGGACTGCCGAAGAGCTTCGGTGACACAGCCATGGTTGCGGACGCCAGCAACGGCCGCGCGTCCCCCAACAGGAAGAAGAATGGAGAAGGGGGGAACAAATGGATAAGCTACATGAGTTGCTCCGACCTAATTAATTCAGGTTCTCCCCTGTGATTCTCAAGCCTGTACTGCGGGTTGATTAGAAGGAAAGGCAGGGGGATTTTGCAAAAATGCATGCGCTGACCGGCTCGGGCCTGAGCAGTCCAGTTGTCGCTCTGTGATTGGTCCAGGACCAAACTCGCACATTGGCTGCAAGTTGTAGGACTGGGTAGGTGCATTTGCAAGTTGTAGGATCAAAACGTCACATCTCGGACAAGTTCTATGGCTTGTAGTGCTTTTACCTCTAGGCAATCTATTCGCCCATCATCTTTCTCTTCTTTCTTTTCTCTAACAAACATATTGTTAGAAGTAATGAGCTTAACCCATGTACAAAAATTCTGAAATTCCTAAAGATTACTCATGTGATGATTTGAAAGTTGGGCAGACGATATCTAAAGATTACTCGTGTGTGATAACTCATGACATCACATACGGTTGTGTGGTGAGAATTGTGTGCTCTACTTGACACACACTTTAAATAAAACTGTGTATGATAAGGATCATCGCTCACGATTTCGTCACATGGATCGTGTATGATGTGACTTGCTTCGTCTAGATGAACAACATCATCTGTCGTCTGACCAACATACTTAGAAGGATAGTCGCAAGAGCATCAACTTATATATTTCCATTAATAGAAACAATTAGGATTCAGCTGAAATCAGAAAACCAAAAAGGCCTGGAATTAAGATCACATTATATCTTCTAAAGTTGCCTGAAGATATAAGATCAATGAAACAGAGCCAAAATGGTAAGAACACAAAGTGTAGGTAACCAAATGTGTAAAGGACTAGTGCATCAATCGTAGATAGTAGGGAGGAAGTATGACATAGGGAATATGTATAAGCGTGAAAACTATGACAACATACTAGTCTAGTCTTTCTTCTTCTTCGATGCCCCTGTGCCATCGTCTTGAAGAGGACGCTTGCCAGTGGTTGTCGTCGACTCCGTCCTCGCCCTTTTCCTTCTCCCCCTCCTCCTCCTCCTCATCACCGTCGTCGTCTTCATCATGGTTCTTTGGGTGCTCCTCCCCCGACTCGGGCTCTGACTTAGTGGTCTCCGATGGGGCTTTGGCCCTTCCATGAACTAGAAAAATTCGAGGTCGGGGCGCGAGGGCGGTTTGATGAATTGCGAGCCCGATGAATCCTCAGTTGAAGTGAACAGATTGGTCGTCTCGTCTTCGCTGGAGGCTTCCAACAACTGATGTCACTTCAACAAATGGGAGGCTTGCAGTCTATTTTTTCAAATTTGAAATTGGTGAGGACGGGGCGTCGATCCGTTGGCTGGGCAGCTGGGGTAGTTGTCAGTCCACTCGAGTTCGAGCCCCGGCTTGGACGCGCGGTGCTCACAGAGTTTCTCCTATAAAAAAATGCCAACGAGGGATTAGCCCTTGGGTTGGTCTCATTTTTCTTTAAATTTGAAATTGATAAGGAGGGTTTAAAAGGTTCAAATTCGGTCGCAGTCCATGCGCACGCAAATACGCAATCTTTTGCTTTTGTCAGGCTCGCTGGCTCAGGCAGACCCGTGGTCTACAGCTGTGCGCTGCCAGGAGTCTACAGGAGTCTACAAGAGACTAGCCCATCATTCGGTCCAACGGACCACAGCACACCACGCTCTGCCCTGCTGCGAGGACCGACGGACCCCACCACCCCAACGCCATGTCACTCCGCCGCCTCGTAGCCCGCTCCCTCTCCACGGCCGACCTCTCCGGCCGCCTCCGCCCCACCGCCGTCCTCTCCGGCCGCCTCCGCCGCTCCCTCTCCACCGCCGCCGCCGCCGCCGTCACGCACCCGCCATGGGCAATCATCCACGACACGTCGGAGGTCGACCGGTCGTCGTCGGCCCCGGGCGCGTGCTTCCGCCCCGTGGCTCCTCCGGGCGTTTCCCACATCTTCGCCCCAGCGCACCTCATCGATCCCACGCAACGCCCGAACGCGGGCAGCAGCGACGGCGTCCTCCAATACCTTGGCGGCAAAGTCGTCCAGCTCCTCTTCGGCAACGTCGGCGCCGCCAGCGGCGACGGCCACCTCCTCCTCAGCTACCACGACCTCCGGGCGGAGGGCCCTTGCACCCGCTGGGACCTGGCCGAGAACCCCGAAGTCCACCGCTTCGTCTGCAACCCCCTCACCGGCCAGATGCTCCGCCTGCCCGACTTCGGCGGCTCCAGGAGGATCTTCGCCCTCCACAGCATGGGTCTCCTCACCCAGGCCGACGGAGGGCTCGGGTGCGGGCCGCCCGACAGGTTCGCCGTCGCCGAGTTCGTCCTCAATGGCGCCGCCATCGTGCGGTTTCTCTCTGAGGAAGGGAAGTGGAACGCGGTACGGCCGGTCCATGGCAATCCATCGCTCCCGCGCCCGATAGAGATGAACCAGGAGACGGTTGCCTTCGGCGGCCGCCTGTGGTGGGTCGACCTGACCTTGGGTGCCGTCTCCGTCGACCCCTTCGCCGACCAGCCAGAGATCCGCTTCGTCGAGCTGCCGAGCGGCAGCGTGCTGCCTGCGCCGGCACGTGTGGACGAAGCAGACCCCTGCAAGGTCGAGGAACGGGGGCTGCTCATTATGGAGGTGACCAATCGCCGGCGCATCGGCGTGAGCGAGGGGAGGCTGCGCTACGCCGAAGTGACTCCCGGCGGGCCATTTCTTCTCAGCTCCTATGCGCTCGACGACGACGAGGGCACCGTTTGGAAGCTGGAGCACCAGGTGGCGCTCAGGCGGGTGTTGGCGGACGGAGGCTACTCGGCACAGGCGGCGCCGCAGATCGCCGTCCTTGACCCCGTCGACGCCAACATCATTTACCTCAAGGTCGGCAAGGACGTCGTCGTCGTGGACATGCATAATGGGAATCTGATTGGGGGCTGTCCGCTTCAAGGAGAGTACATTTCTCTTGTACCATGCGTTCTTCCACCCTGGCTTGGATTAAGCCGGATCCCCGCCGGAGGTACCTACCAATCTCCTTACGTTTCAGTTTTGCATTTGTTGGTGCATTGCTTCAGATGTTCTATGCTAGCTTGGGGAGTATTTTATAGTAATGTGGAAACATACAAATGGATGAATTTTGTGATTGGTAACAATGTTGTGAGTGTGTTGTAGATGGTGGTGAGGAATTGATGAATTTTGTGATTGGTAACATTTTTCTGAAGCCTGAAATCATGTGTATTCACACAAGTACTCTGTTCATAAAACTCATATGTTGTTCAAATCTTGTGTCACAAACAGGTAATGCATCTCTTAATTAGCTAGCAGCGGTCTCTTTCGGTGATATGTTGCAGTTGAGGATGGTGTCTAAACACACATAAATCATCCCCTTTGGTTTCTGTGAATTTTGAATTTACACACGTACATGTTCTACATGTTATTTCCACATCTCTGTATGTCGTTTTCAGTTAATGGATGTTGTACTCTTGTTTATTCAACTGATCACCCATCTTTTGGCTTGAAAAGAATTTTTGTTCCTCTGATCAGTGTCAAGCTATATGAGCAATGGGCTGTGCTGAATTCTTGATACTATGTATCAGTCCAGTCCGCTGGTACATTTCTTATAAGCAACACGTAGTTTATAACCGTACAAAATTGTTCCGAGTTAACATAGATTGTACTAATCTGTTATTCAAGTTCCTGTATCTTGACAGAGAAAACTTTTTTCAGGCAAGAAGGATGGCATGGAAGTGACAGATGATCTGGTCAGTAGCGCCTAGAAGTCGTGAATGGGCATCAGTCTACCAGCTTATGTATCTCTGGTTGGGAACTATCTTAGTCTCTTAACTAATGCTTCCATTATTAGTCATCCATTGGCATTGTCAGTAGTACTCAAGACGCATCGTGCTTCCTTGTCCTAATGGCGACCGCTCTTTTCTTTTTCTTAAAATTTTACCAACAACTGTTGAGAAGTCTAAAACTGAAGTTTATTACTTTCAGACAACTTATAATGATGTAATTTGGTGTTATAAGTAAACATGTTGTCCAGATGTTATTTGGTGTTTATTCCATTATTCGTCCTTCTTTTCCATGTTGGCTTGTTGAGTCAAACATCTCTAATATGTTTTTTCTACTTTTCAGGTTTCCTGGGACTAATAGATGGAGGGGCTGCACTATATTAGGATAGAAGCTGGCGGTAGTTTGTTGAACTCTCATTTTGGCGAAATCTGGAATATTTTGGATTTACTGTAGTTTCTTGATGAGTTACCAACTTACCATCTCGTTTAGAGGGAAATCTAGCAGTTGGTTCAACAGTCCATTAGGAAAACATGCATGAATGAAGTTACTTGCAAGACGATATGCTCATCTTTTTCTTTTCAAATTCAGCAAAAGAAACATAAAGCTCATCTTTTTGTAGGAAAACATGGATGGATCCATGATTTTAAATGCTTGTAGACTTGTAGTCTTGGTGACATCTGTTATGAATTGATGAATGTTTCAACGGTTTAGGATTTATCATGACAAATGCATGTTTTTCACCGCCTTTATTGCTTGACAACAGCATAGATCACCAGCACAACAAAGTTCTGTGCCATAATATGTTTACAAAAAATTCAAATATATGTACAAAGTAATCAGAATCGTGCATCAACGCACAACAATCCTTTTATCGCTTCTATAGACTTGGTATAGTGTGAAAATTTAAATTCATTTTGATATTTGAATTTATCTTGGCTAGCTCTTCAAGATAAGTCCAATGAGCAATATATTTCAAATTGTGGAGCAAAGCTAGGGCTGAGCATGTTGGTCAAGTGAAACCTCATTAATTAAATTACATTTATTGGAAGGTTCTTTGCTTTTCATTAACAAAGAGATGATTTTTTTAATATTTTGAGACAGATGGTCATCATGTAGGAACATATTATGTACCAACTAAAAAGGGTTGAGTTCTTAGGGCATTTCCAGCCGTTCGACGCTCCCAGGGGCTGAAATAGCATCTCCTGGGGGCTCGCCGAAGCTTTTTTCGCCTTGGGGGCGGTCAGGCGCCCTAAGTTGGCCCCATACGCCGGTTTTTGAAAACCAAAATCGGCCAAACTTCATACAAAATGACACAAATTTGAAGAAAATTCAGGTGTTTTCATTGATATTTGTACAAATTTAAAACATAATTTAAAAACTAAACTAAAACTACTACTACTACGCCGCCACCACCGAGCCTTCTACATGCTGAGGAGCCTGTAGAAATTCGTGTCGTCGTCGTCGTCATTGTCCTGCATGCCGCTGCCGTCCTTGCTGCAGCCGTGCGCTGGGTCGCTGTGGCGGACGGTGTTGGATGGCCCGGGCGCATCCTTGTCGCTGTCCTCGATGATGATGACGCCCCCCTCCTCGTGACCGCGGTGCCTGGCGGCGATCTCCTCGAGGGCGCGGCGTTGGCGCTCCATCTCCTCGCCGACGTAGTCATCTCACGCCCACTTCATGCCGGTTTCGTCCTCGGCGGCCATGGAGAGGTGCTCCTGCTTGACGACGACTGGCGGCGTCGCCGACTCCTCCTTCGGCCTCACCAGACAAAGGTGGCCATGAGGAGAAGGGGAAGGCTGGCGGCGACCCTCGTTTATGACGAGGCCGCCGCCGTGGCTGCGCCGACGCTCCGGCGTCTCCGGTGACTCGGCCTTGACGATGGCGAGCGGCGCCGCACCGGAGGAGTGGGAGGAGGAGGAGGAAGCGCCTGCCATGCGTCTTGGCAGCCAAGAGTTGCCGCTCCGGCGGGGAATGTGGGCACCGCCAGGTACTCCGTTGGCAGCTCGTAGCGCCCTTGAGGTGCTCAAGGATGGCATGGAGCATGCGCCTGGGAACGCCCCACCACAGGCGGCAGCCGTCGGCGTTGTGTCGTCCCCTCGTCGGCGTGTTGTTGGTGGAGGCGAGCTTCTCCTCGTGGCGGCATTGGAAGTACGCCGTACAGAAAGCGTGGTTGTTGGCGGCGTACTTCGGAAGGTCTTGCACCTCCTCCGGCAGGGATGCCCGAACGCGCGCGATCTCGGCGTGGCGGCAGGGGAATGGGGACACCTCCGGCGCTGTGGCGCCCCCGATTCAATCGTACACTAATCATACGCGCAAATGTGTACGATCAAGATCAGGGACTCACAGGAAGATATCACAACACAACTCTAGACACAAATAAAATAAAACAAGCTTTATATTACAAGCCAGGGGCCTCGAGGGATCGAATACAAGCTCGATACACAAGACTCAGCGGAAGCAACAATATCTGAGTGCAGACATAAGTTAAACAAGGATGCCTTAAGAAGGCTAGCACAAAAGCAACACGATCGAAGAGGCAAGGCCTCCTGCATGGGACCTCCTAACTACTCCTGGTCTTCGGCGGCCTCCATGTAGTAGTAGTCGACGGGGATGGCATCTGGCTCCAAGGATCCACCATCTGGTTGCATCAACCGGAAAGAAGAAAGAAGGGGGAAAAGGGGTAGCAAAGCAACCATGAGTACTCATCCAAAGTACTCGCAAGCATCAGATCTATACTAAGTATGCACTGGTATCAAATGGAAGGTTTGTATCTGTGGACTGAACTGCAGAATGCCAGAATAGAGGGGGAAGGCCTAGCCTATCGAAGACTAGCATCTTCAAGCAACTCCAAGCATCTTGCAGCATGTAGAAGAGTAAAGAATAGCAGTTTAATATTTAACAAACATGTTGTAGAACCAATGCCCAGAAATCCTTCTCCGACTCCCTGCGGAAAAGCAATCTCGGAGCCACATATCCATCACATATCTCAAGTATCCATTTCTAGTTATATAAGATCAGGATATAAGTCTGAACGTCCATTACCGCGGACACGGTATTCGAATATATATTTTCCCTGCAGGGGTGCACCACGTTACCCAACACGCTCGATCACTTTGGCCGGACACACCTTTCTGGGGTCAATGCCCGGCCTCGGAAGATCAACACGTCACAGTCCTACCTAGGCTCAGCAGAGAGGTCCCCGTCGGTATAAATCCTAAGCACTCCGGGGTCTTGGGCCCATCGCCCACAACACTCCGGGTCGTTGTGTGCAGGGTGGATACCAGCACCGCCTCGGATAGCCAGCACGATCCGACCGTGCCACAATGCTGAACTGGACGTCTGACAAAGCTTCGGCTGATACTACGACGTCGAGGCCCATAACTATTCTCGCGTGGTGGTTAGTGCGTAAAGGCCAGAGGCCAACTCAGAACAAATATCCAAACCTGTTAGTGCATCGGGGGCTCGCGGAAACGAGCAGAGACTCACGATAAGGTGACCCCGTCACCCTGTCTCATGGACCTACGGCAAGGGCCCAGACTGCCCGGTCGTGCCATGTGGAAAACTCGCGGGTGCTCTACGGGGCCGCCCGACTTTCACATCAACTCGTGGTACCCCTCAGGGCTAACCCGACTTCAACAATGGTCTCAGGTAAAGTTCGGGTAACTGTGTGTCCAAACATCAAGGGGAAAACCCAAGGAATCACCCTTGGTGAATTCCACTCGATGTAATCATCAAGGTGAATGTAAGCGGAACCGCCCTTGAGGTTTACACTTGAGGGGTTGCACGACAGAGCCGTATCAGGAATGGTGAAGGAGGAACCACCCTCATTGACCACGATCGAATAGCTACACTACAGAGATCTCATCAAGAGTGATGTATGAGGTTTCACCCTCGGCACTCGATGGTAACTCTGCAGAGTCGAGCAACAAAAAGGGCGTGATGCGATTTGAGGTGTCGGGCTCTGGTTGTCGATCACGTAGATTGAGTCGTCGATGATGAAGCAGGGGCGACAAGGACAAGGTGGGGGGTCACTGATGGATCACTAACCAACCTATACTAAGCAGTTTAGGATAATCAGGCAAGGTACAACAGCAGGTACAAAAGCAGGCTATGCATCAGAATAGGAGAATGGAATGGGCAACATCGGGATAATCAAAGGGGTGGTTTGCCTGGAAGCTCCGCTGGAAGGGAAGAAGGGTCGTCGTCAACGTAGTCGATCACAGCGACATCAACAGCCTCGGTGTCTACCGGAGAGAAGAGGGGGAAGAAACAATAAATATAAATCAAGCATAGCATCACAAAGCATAACATGGCAATATGTTGTGCCAGGTGTGACCTAATGTATGGCTACACGATATAGGTGAAGGGGGGAATTCAACCGGAATGTTTTCCTGGTTCCAGACCTGTGTCAGACAGATGACCGGAGGAGGAATGTTCCATGTTCAGATAGTTAGAGGCATCTGACAGGTAAACGGACCGCGGATTCGGATTTGTCTCGTTTTCTGAGCAACTTTCATGTAGAAAACATTTTCATCCGAGTTACAGTTTATTTACTATGATTATTCAAAGATTAAAGCATTTTCAGAAACTATTTAAAATAACAGAAATGGAATTATGACGGCAACAGAGTGTCAGCATGACATCAGTAGGTCAACAGACTCGCTGACTAGGGTCAAACCTGCCATGTGGGGCCAGTGCGACGCACATGTCATAGTCAGTGGGCTACACAAAGTTTAACTAAGACTAAACAGGGTTAATTAGCACTTGGACCCCACCTGTCAGTGTCTTAATTAACTAACTAATTAATTTTAATTATAAAATCGGTTTAGTTAAACTAATTACACGGTGGTGCCCGCACGCCAGCGTCATAGAGAAGCCCAGTAAGCATGTTGACTGGTCAAACCAGTCAATGGGGACCCGTGGGGCCCAGCGTTAGTGGCATAGAAGGCCCACCTGCCAGGCCACGTCGACGACGGCACCG